TTAACAGGTGTAAGTATGCGCATACGTCGCACAGTAGCAGCTTTTGTAAACATTTGCGCATGATTGCTCACTCAGACATAGACCCGAGCCACTTCACAGTACGACCTCACGCGTCACGCCATCAACCGGCGACAAATATTTGCTCAGCCACTGTCCGACAAAACTGAATATTTATCTTTACGAATCTAGTTACTTTGATTATATTATGCGTAGATTACAGTTCCAGACAAAACATGTAGACATTTTTAAAATGGAGTAATATGTTTATTTTTTGAAATCACGAAAATGAACAACATTTTACAATATATATAAATGAATCGATTTGTTACACAGCGCTGCAATTGACCTTGGAATAGACTAATTAAAATATTCAAAATTTGCCACAAGTCATTATTATACGCGGACGAAGTCGTGAGGAACGGCTAGTATAATTTAATAGCGGAAACACAGTTTCTTTTACTTTCAATATGAATTCACTAAATAAGTGTAAACCCCTTTTCAGATTGAAATAATCAAAATTGATAACATTTTCAACTGATTAAAACTTAAACATTCGAAACGAAAAACGAAGTAATCGAGAAAGGTTCGTAAGAGGTGAAATATCGATCTTTTATTACGAAGAGGTAAGATAACTTAAGTACTTATTATATACGTAAAGAAGATAGATATGTACCAAAGTAAAAAGTAAGTAAATAAATTAAAAAGTAAGTCGAGTGCAGGTCCGTTTCTCCACATGATTGACGTGACAACTTGATCTGGCAGCTCGGTCGGCGTTCGCGCACGCTCGCATCATACGCCAATGAAACAAAAGCTTTATCTCACCCAGATAAAACTGGGCGGTCGGACTATAATCTAAATAAATATTTTGTATGAAATTAATATGAAACCTTTTTTTAAACTTAATCGTACGCACATAATCGTAATCATAACAAGAACTATTAATCGAAGTTTATACCAGTCCAGAACAACATGTATGTACAATTACGTCCAGTTACTATACATGTATGTTTGTCAATTACTTTTCTTTACGTTTAGTTACGATAACCATATTTATATATTATGTTCATAAATAGTCACTTGTACAAGTAATAACAATAAAACAGGAATCTACCGATAATGTTGCTGCAAATAACGTATTTCATGTGCTGCAAACGACGTATTTAAAATCCGTAGTTTACAGGGCGACTAACTCTAGTATTATTGGCGATTAAATGTGCGTTTGGCACATTTTATTACTTACCACCGAGTATTTTATCATATAAACAGTATTATAAGTTACATGATAAATACCTTTACCTGGCAGACACATGTGCTTGTGAAAGTTAAATGTAACTACGAAGAGTTCAAAGTTCTGCATTAATTACAAGTTAACTCCGGAACCAATTGAGACGTTCGATCGATTCATTATTATAATTACACGTATCAGGTACCCATACATAGAATAAAATAGCAAGTATCTTACGATGTACGTATCCTGAATTATATTATAGAGCGACGAATTTCCCCCACATTGCTTTTGTTCAATAGTTCACAAAATATTTTCCAAGTTTTTATTGTTTCATGAAAGTAAAATAATTTTAATTAGCCATTATCGCCGGAATTAAATGGTTATGACTTGTATTTTTGCATATCATAAAATCGATTTATTCTTTAATTACTCGAAGGATTCTGTTGAGCTTTCACAACCGTCGCCATGTTTTCACAGTGGTTCAATTCGTGCGTGTGATTGACATGAAGTGCTCTGAAAATATCAGTCAAATCGCTGAGATTATAGCCGAACATTAATGAAGAAAAGCATTCGAGAAAATAACATGAAATAATGACAGCGTGTCGGTGCGGCGGCGTGTTGGGCCGGGCAGGCGGCCTGCTCCATCGCGGAATGCAGATCGAGAGCACTTGTCCACAAACCTGCGTAATGTTTTTGCAATCGACAAACATGTATTTTTGTTAATTAAACTGCTGGAACTTGTTCACACCGATAGATAGAAAATGAGAATCGATTTATATTTAGTCGAGCAATGGAATGTCGTGTATGGTGTTATTTACATAGTGAATGCGGGTGCAGATAACGTGACTCGTGACTATGATTATAGAGCTGCATTATATCGTGCGCTTAATGCAACGACGGGCTGCGTAATGTTCACACAATGGCTCGCTTCTTACAGTGAAAATACACAGACTAACACGGAAAAGAAATCCATAGTACTACACGACAAAAGGGTGTTTTCAGTCTTCCGATGTGGTTATAGGCGGTATATTAGTGAATTACAATAGTACAAGTGTACAACGTAGTATGCACAAACGTATGAAAGTAAAGGCGTGAGGCTGCGCGGCGTGTGTCGGAGGCTATCGCGGTCGGTTTCACCTCGCACTTGTATCTTGTGATCTCGTGGCGGAGGCGTTTCGCGCGCCTTTTTTGGAATAACTCGAGCAAAATTCGTCGGAAACTTTTATTTTACTTCGCGCAAGTTGCACTCAAAAATCGGATTTTTATTTTAATGAGCCAGTTTCGCGTCGGCTTCTCGCTCGCACCCGCTGCTGCACTGAATAAATAAATGAGTTGCTCTACTTTCTATGAGATCGTTTCTTTGGGCGGTCCGATGAGACTTGCCTGTTACGCAGCGCGGCTTTGTGCTGCGGCGCTCGTGCCAGCCGCCAACAACGCGCGCCGCAATGTCGAGCATCGCTTGCGCATCAACAACATTGCTCTTTTACCTATACCTATACAATAACACTTCTATTATTTATAAAATACATTTCAGTCACGATTTCTATAGATAGTACCAGATTTCTTTGCAGGAAATGTCAGTCGTTCTAAGTCTACGTGGTTAGTCAAAGTAGATCTTATATGTTGGCTGTAGAGGTATACGTTTCAATGTACTTTAGAGCAACGTTTTTATAATTTTATAGATAGATACACCTTAGTTTGAAATGTACAATAACCAATGTAATTTTTGCTAAACCATCATGTAAATACTACCTCTGTATTTATTATGTATATCCTCTACAGTAAAACAGAACTAAGTATCAAAATCACAGCTATTCACAACATCAACCAGCATGTTCATATAAACGTACTTAAGTTCAAAGTTGATGATTTCATGAAATGAAAAGCTATTGCAAGTCTAAGCCGCTGAGGGCTTAATACCCAGGTTTTCTAATAATTTATTACTTCTCCACTATTATGTGTAACATGTAAATTATGATTATCTTTTCTAAGAAAATGTCTATTTGTTGAGTAGAATCCTGTATTCCATTCATGAGTTAGTTCCGCAACATAATAGCGTCGCGATGTGGTTTCTATAGCGTCGTGGAGCATCCTTGTTATTATGTCCATAAAAGCAAGCAGTGTAGTGCCCACGCACAAGCCTTTTAATGTTGTCATCTTAGCTAAATCATCATTACAATTAGTACCGTTTGTGATAATTTACGACTGTAGATCAAAAGAACAAGACTTGTTAAATGTTCAACTACCTACTTTATGGTTCTGAATTAGCATGAGGTGTGATTGTGAATAACATTTCAAGAATAACTTTTATTTATTTACTACTAGCTTTTACCCGCGGCTTCGCTCGCGTCACAAAAGGATAAAAAGTAGCCCACGTGACATATACCAATACACACAGCGCCATCTATACCAATAATTTCGTTTTCCCTCGGGAATATCAAATTTTTCCGGAATAAAAAGTACCCTACTATTTAATCCAGACTTCTAACTTTACGTCTGCAAAAATTCAAAGCATTCGGTTTAGAAGTTACAGCGTGAAAGCGGAACAAACAAACAAACAAACTCATTTTCCGATTTATAATATTAATTAGTAAGGATTGCTGCAACACTACAAACTCTACATTAATTGAAACATTTTCATCAGGATAGAAAATAAGGAAATGCACAGCACAGCTGAGATATTGAAATATAAATTAGAACATGTAAAGCGATTGAACGCGCCTATTATGCAAGTGAGTTAAGCATCGATACGGGTTTATGCAAGACTCACGTATCATATGATACGACACTTATTGGTCGCGCACAGAGCTCGTTGCCTACCGGACATGGAAAGGACTTGGTATTATTAGTGCAATGCACTTGCATGCGTCACTACGCGAAGGACACGCTTTGTCTGGATCAGGTGGTCGCACAGCAGGTGAGGGGGCGCGGGGGCGAGGGCGCGAGGTACGCGGGGGGCGCACCTCGAGGCCGCTTCCTGTCGCAGGACTGGTTCTGCGGTTTGCACCACTTTTGTTTTGCACCAGTTTCAAACTAAACAAACAACCTTTTAATGTTTAATGCACCAGTTTATGCACGTATGCACATTGAGCTGGTATATAAACTTACACAGGCTTCTGGTGGCCGATCTCCTTCATCTTACTAGATAGAGTGTTGTAGTAAATGATGTTGTTCATTGGAGTGAATGTAACATAATTTTTAAAACTCTTCGGATCTAAACTTCCTATAGAATATAGTGTACCGTTTTATGCGTAAACTATTGTTACGTTTCATTCATAACTTTAACGAGGTTCTGTATTTCCAATATAGCACCATTGTGCTTTAAATATGGAGCAATGCATTACAATCCACAGTTATGGCCAATAATATCGTCGAGAAAGTCGGCGGTGTTGATTCCTCTTGAATTTCGTAATGCCGAAATGTTTGATAATAAAAACCAAGTTACTCTGAATCTTGCAGCATATCATCGTTTTACAATCTACAGAATTTTCGCAGAGCATTCATTTAAGACCAATTTTAACAATATAATATTGAATTTTATGCAATTTCGTTGTTGTTATTTATGGACATCATTTTTATGACGTCAAATATAATATTAATTTTATAAAACCATCCAAATCTTTTCTTGCAATTATACAAAACATTATGTAGTATCACAACACAAAACGAGTTTCGACAAAGTTTTAGCTTAAGAATTTATCGTCAAATATTCAATAAATAAATCAGGAACTATTTCCCGATGTAAATTAACAATAGATTTTTTTTATTACAGATATAAACACGTCAGGTGTCACATCACACTCAAAAGGTGAGCATCATATAATTTTATAGATTTACACTAGATTTGACTAAGTGACGTTTTACCATCATCATATTGTCAAGGTTCTAACAGGAATGAGAAATGACGTGATTGTTACATGACTTTACAACGAAGGTGAAAGTCAATCGCAAGTCATCTCGTCTGTATGCACCTCCGCCGCCGCTGCTGCTCATTGAATCTGCAACGAACTGAATTAATGAATAGACTCGTATGAATGATGAACAATAACATATCGAGAAGTACTGAAGCTGCTGTCAACCTGGACAACATTGTCAGTCACTACACAGCGGCTTTAAAATGATTTATGAACGCTTCAACGCTTTTATTTTTTGTTGAAACACATTACAACTAGTTGTTCCTGGTATCTCGAGAGCGGCCTCATACCTTCGCGATATATGTTAATACTTTCAACATGTATACCAGGCCAGCCACTTGGTTGACAATGCTTTTGTTCAAGTATGGCTTGAGCTCGGTTTATTAAGGCTTCGCGGATTTTATTACAGCAAAAAAATACATAAATTGGGTCGATTTATGGCCACTAATTTCCACATCACTTCATCTCCGAGCCGCTTTATTGAAGTTTTAAATTAATCTTTTATTTGTTCGGGTGTTTTATCATGGTGGTTTGGACATTGCCCAAATATAACGTTAGTTAATATTGAGGTAGTAAGTATAACTGCAGACGAGTCCACGGATGATAAAGACGCTGTTCTGGCCATGATTTTATGCCGTTACTGTAGGGCAAGAGTCAAGGGCAGGGCACCGGGTGGTCCGCTAAATCGCAAAACTCTTCATGCTCGTGCGAGCAGACAAACAACCTGTGTTAACCTTTCGCGTGGAACAGACGTGACGTTCGCGTCAATATGTGCATATAGATGCCATAATTATGCATATTCGTTTGAAAAAAATAATTGATGAATCAGCTCCCATCCTTGAACTTACACAACTAAAACCAAGCTATAAAATAATTTCTAAACGAGTATATCTAATTCAAAGAGATAAATGTAAAAATATTTTGTATGCATAAATTAATTGATTATTACAATACTTAACACGTTACGAACAGGTTATAATTTCCAATTAATGTATTCAAACATGCAGTTTCAAAAGTCAAGTCGGGCAAGTGATGTCAAGTATAGCCTTCTAATAAGGTTCAAATTGGAAGTAATTCCGCAAACACTTCATACTTGCAAACACATTCAAGAGTAAGCATTTTAAAATAAAATTGTGTTAGTCGACGACAGCGCTAGGCATCACAAAATTTCCAAAGCTAGCACTCAAATAATTTTGCATACCTAAGACTAAAACACGTTTGCTTTCATTAGTACTAGCAGCTTTCGCTATAATTTACAATCGCACTACAATATTTTAAATCTCATTGAAATAGGAATAAGACTCAGACTTCGATCAATCACTTTTTATTAAATTTCATTTCGATTATAATGATGATGATGCTTCATATCCTTTTGCTTAATATGGAAATAGCAGGTTTATCTGACCATGTTTTATATTACAATTTTATTCGTTTCTTAGTATCCGTCATAAGAAAAAACCAACATGAATGTAAAATTTTATTAGTGTTGACTTAAAAACTTTAGAAAATGCATTATTATTACTTATATCTAGCGAAGCAACGTAACAAGGGGTTTCACACAAGAGTATACGTAATTACATCTCAAAATTCTATTCTTTCGCATCATTCCCAATAAGAACAATATTCCAAATGGTTAAATATCCAAGTAAGTCCATATAAGTTACATTTCCAATAAGAACAATTTTCGAGTACAGACAGTTTACATTTAATATTAAATATCCAGTAAGCTATTAACTTACTTTAATGGCATTAAGTACTCTTAGGTCTAATTGCTCAATTTCTAATACTAATGCACAGATTTATTTTTCAAAAAAATCGCTTAAGCACCGGCTCATCTAATGCTTTGCCAGACTTTTCTTGTACAAGGTTTTTTATGAAATTTTCTTAAATGACCAAAGACTCATTAACCCGTTAGATGGTCCGTAACAAAAAACCTTAACCGTGAATCTCCGGCAGGTTTAGGCATCAAGTTACTTTGTACTTTTTGTTCTTCTACGAGTCGGTGATGGTGACGTAACAAAGCAATTTAGCGACCTGATAACAAATACTTGTTTTTTCTAACATAATTTCAACATACTTCAACAAAAAATATAAACAATTTTGCAGCTAACTACAGTTTCGATATAATAGTTCACTACGAATGTGTTCATCAAAAGAAATATAAATATTTGCAATGTTTTAATTCTTCGGTAGTATGTCGATTCGATCAAGTTTTACTTAATTTTGTTAATTTTATTCTGACAAATGAACACGGTTTTTGTAAGATGTAGTTGAAAAGCTTACTTTGTTTAGTTTTGTGAAGTTGTCAGTTTTATTGATTGTACGAATAAATCCGACGTGTTTGTGGGCCATCAATTACTTTCCATGTAAAAATAATTATCTGTCTACATTCATAATAGTATTGTAAATCTATTAAAAATTGACGTGCATTATAATTTATGAAAAAAATGTGTTACGAATGATGATGTATTGGTTTGAGACTAGTTTGTGCGCAGTAGTACGACTAGTGTCAGCAGTGTTTACTATACACACCTACCTTTGCATGCGCGAGTATTGTATGTATTGTTTTTAATGATTTCGCTCCATTTGTTTGACCTACTGTAACACCGTTATTTTTAGAGCAAGCTCTCAGCGCCGACCGAGCTCGTTCATCAACCAATATCTGCACAAACATCTACAACATTACCGTGTCTCCGTGTCTCTACAATATTATAATTAAGCACAATGTCGTAAGAGCATTATTATTATTATTAGTCTGAAACAAACATGTTAGCATGCGTTTACCACAACTATTAATAACGTTCATAAAAAAGAAATAAAACTTTGTCTGACTTAAAAAAACACAAGTTGGCATGTTGCAAAACGAGTTTACAAATTTTATGAGGTTGTATTGCGCACAGTTAGGTACTATTTGTACGTATTATGTAGTTCATGAAATTTCATACAAAACCCTATATTGAACAGTTATAATCTCACGATAGCCGAGAAACCTGGAACCTAATACGTTAATTGCTGGAACACTCATAAAAATAAATCTGTTGAATAAACTCGTGACACAGATATACGAATGTAATTTTAGCTAACATCAACGCAGTTAACAACCTTTATTACTTCCACGAAAACTTCTATTCACAGAGGTCTATATCATTACGATTTTCACTTTCTTGATGAATCATTTCTTTGAACGTGTAATTGAAAAAGCAACAAATTCCCAGTAAACACACAAAAAGCTGACAGTGGATGTAAAATTATTGTATTATGTATATTCATTTCATTAACAACTAATTAATGTTCCCATAATATTTGAAGTTTTAATCAAATAAACTATGTAAACAGTTAGGGCGATAGTCATTTTTCGACGTGAACAAGTATGTGGCGTATAAACTCATAAGCTAGGTATGCATGAACTGTACACATACGAGATGTATCGCGCGTTGATGTCTTTTCCATGGCACTGCTGTTAATGAAACTTCATAATAAATAGTTATGCATTTATCTTCAATATACATTTATCCTTTGTAGCTAGTTAACTGACATTTATTTTAATAACAAGATATAATGATCGTGTTGTATCTATGAATCGTTTTACGACTTTGGTACTTATTACTACTAAACTTTTAGACCGCGTACTTTGGAACTGTAATTGCTTACACAATTATACGTTTTTAAGATTATTTACGCAATTTTAGTTCTTGCGTAATTTAACAAGGGTGTTAGTGGTTTAAATTATTATTTGAAAGCTTGCTTTTAATCAGCTGTTGGAAATTTTACATTCTGTTGATAATAATCCAAGGCCAGCGGATGTAGGGAAAACAGAGTGACGTGTGTCAGAGTGCCAAGTCGAAACATTTTGTTATTAAAACTTTGAAATCAAAACACTCAAGTGATTGTAGCGCGGTATGCAGGACCAATTAATATGGAATGTTTTTATTTAAATGAGTGCAAAGTGGTTCAGTTTCAACGATTTTTATCGCTGTCTTTGTAGGCTGTTGACTAATGTATAAAATGTAGAATTAAAATTAGTAAAAAAACCTGTAAACTAGACCTGAATATAGCAAGTCGAAAATAACGATATCCTAAAACGAATAGCTTTTCTTCTTGATAAAACTGAGCAAGATACTTGATAAATATTAAGGACTCTAAAAAATGGTTGGACTGAATCGGAAACTTCATTGGAACAATAATAATATAGTGTCAGTGGTAAAGTGGAACAAGGAACTCTCGTAGTGGCGACTGGTACGTTGAACCTCTCGCGTGGCGGTGTGTGTGCACGCACACAGCCGCGCCACTAATACGTACGCGCCGCGGTATACTGTAATACACTACACACGTCAGCGCCGCGCGTCAGTGTGCGGCCAACAAATGTGTGTAAGTACTTTAATCTGATTCATGGCGCGATACGTAGGTAAGGCGCATGATGTTTAGCAGCACGCGTTACGTTTTATTAATATCTCACATATTCACATATACATAAAGTTTAAATTTCGATAGGCAACATATTTCGATACACGTACATGTTATTTCAGAGAAAACATATTGTAGTATGATCCGTATTGAAATAATTAAGTGGTTACAAATACGTGGCTTCGGTATGTTCGTTGATGTTTGTGAAGCAGTTGATGAAGGTACCACAAGGGGATTCGTGGCCGGTCCGAACGCACTGCTGTACGCTGCGAGCATTCCGGGCACTTCGAGCCTCCGAGCACGATGCCCGAAGGCACTCGCTTGTACTTTGTCGACGCATAAACAAGATTTATGTCGCTGTAAATCCGAACTCGCATATTTATTAAAGGGAAGCGTGTTCTAACTTAGGACCATAATAACTTGCTGTTATTAATACAACATTAGCGTATAAGAATCAGAAATCTAATGCCCATTTAACAACTTATCCAAT